AAATCTATGGTAGATGAGGATTCAAATTTTTTATCTGGAATATTATCTACCGACAAGGCTACTTCTTCGAGCAATGAACAAGTAACTTTATATATTATCCATTATGATTCGCCAGTGAATCCTCTTGGGTACTTTACAATAATGATTACCAAAAAAAGGTAGCTAACACCTGGAAGAAAACCTAAAAATGAAAATTTCTTTCCGACAACAAACTACTACTTGAATTGTTGTTTGCACTTCAAATATCAAAGATACCAATTTTCAGAATGATCAAATACCCATGGACCATGATTACTCTTGGTTAGTTGGATCACCAGGGTTCAATATTTTTAACGACTTTATCAAGGGCTTTGTACTGGAACGACAATAAAGAGGTCGATTTTCATTCGGAAATATGAAAGGCGAACCGAAAATCTTCATATTCTTACCCCTACTCACTTACGTTATAACAAAAAGTTTAGTTTTGAAAAACTCGTCAATTTCCCATATCACGCCACGGAAAAATCCTTTAACGAGCAAGGAGTTGGAAAAATTCTGTTGGAAAATTGCGGTTGCACGCCATAAAGCAATTTATAGAATTTCAGTAATAGACGAGAAAGAGAGGGAGGAAAATTGGGTCGGTTAGGTTTATAGCGGAATGGAAATATGAAATTTGCACGGACTTTGATAAGGTTGCATTTTTATTTTATCAGAGTCGGTTTAATATTGTTTTTCAGGTTGAAATAAAAATGCTTCCTCTTTGTTACTTACAGTCTCTTAAAGAAGACGTTAAGATGCTTATGGATATTCACAATCAGGATCTTAAACATTAACCACGATAATATTTTAATGTCTGTCTAAAAGGCACTCTCAGATGTTGTCAATTTATACACAAAATTGATACACTGTATAACTTCCTCTTCAGTCACGAACAAAGACAAATTATCAATTATCTCAACTAATCAAAACTATTTGCAATATTAAAGAATTTTTATTTAGTTGCAAGTTCTAAGCTTTTAAAAAAACTAACTAAAACTAGCATTAATATAACCTAAAAATGTAATAATATTAAGGGCCTTCGACTCTGCAATAAATAATTTGCCGTTCTTCCTTCTTCTTGGAAAAACATCGAGTTAAGTTCAGTTTAGGGACACTATATGTCTTTGTGGATTTGTCACTAAGATTAGCTAGAAAAAAAGCTTCAAGCTGTCTGCTAGTAATTTAATGAATATTATTTTGACTTGCTTCAGTCACGAATTTATTTCGAGTCGAGGTCGATTGCAATTAATAGTCTGCGAATGTAATACCATGTACAAAGCAATAACAAGCGAACTTAGCTTAGTTTAGTTGTGTTCTAAAATCAGACAGATGCTACCGTCTAATCTGCAGATGTTTCCTATAAATTCTAACCGAAATGAGAATTAATGTAAACAATCGGAACTATCAGGCCGGTATTGAGACGAAAAAATATTGATAGATTCTGATAAGTGAGGAAGCTCATTTAATTTATAGTTTCTACTCTTTAAAACGTCAGCTTCATTAAATACTGTCGAGAGCTAACTCTTTTTCCTGTACTTTAGTCTCGGGTTGAGAAGGATCGAATGTTTTCGGAAAATATTCAAAACATGGTACTTTTACCCTTGCCAGTTTAGAGAGTGCTGCATTCAACACGTCACTCAGAATAAAAAAAGTATAGTTTATTTGGCACGAGCGGAGCACAGCGGCGCGAGTGTTTAATAAACGAGTGACTTAAAAAGTTTACACAATGTGTTGCATACTATACTTTTTCTACGACCATTAGTGTTTGAGTACATTTTTGTCAAACACGTTCACACACAGAATTTTCAAACGTCACAATTCAAGCCGTGCGGTAATATCTCCGAAAACATCCGAACGCTTCGGTAATCTCCCGGAAATGCCCGAAGTGCCTCGGATCCGTGGGACAAGAAACTCCGTGGTAAAGTGACGCTTCCCGCCCACTAGATCGGTGTATAATTGGGTATTTTACAGAAGAAAGTAGAAAAATATAATTATGTTCATATTAACTTTTTTTCGACAGTACTGTAATTCTTCTAGTTAATTCAAGCACACCAAATCTACAGAACAATTTGTCAAACCATCCCTTTAATTTGAAAAACCGGTGACATCTTTCGGCTAAAATCGCAATATTGGTCCTACAGAAATGTTAAATAAATACCTCAAACCTTATTCATTTAGAAAACTCCCCAATGCAAATTAAAAATAAACCACATGACTAACTACTATGCAAGAATAAATTAACGAGACATCTACCAAAATAGCGATAAATCAACAAAATCACTAATGTCGCAATTATAAAAGAGCCGGCGATCACTGCGAAATAACAAAATGGGGATAATATTCTGTCAAACTGTTAAAAATAAAATGAGATTTAAGCTGGTTACTGGTCATTAATAAATATGACATCTGAACTTTTTATCGTTTTCCTGTTCTCTAATATTCCTAAGAAATCAAGCTTTCTGCTTCTGTCACAAGTGTGCAGAACCTTTATGCTCTCCTTTGATGAGAATGAGTGGTTCTCTGATAGTAAATGGTTGTCAAAAATTTACTTTGTTACCGCAATATCGGTATTGTTATGTTTTTGATTTTGAAACCGGAAAGGGGTCAAGCTGTCTTTACTCTTAAAATATTTTTGTCATCAGTACGCTCTGATAATGCCCGATCCTATTTACATAGCTAATTTAATATAATATTACTGCATTTAATTTATATTTAAACTCTTGATACTGTCCTGTGCTGTATAATACAATAAAAAAAGCTTATAGTATCGTAGTTGGCTCAGTTTATGTTTGCATTTATGCTTTAGTTTGTTGGGTAATATCTGCCGTGGAAATATGGAAACTGTTTAATCTTTCCAGGAGTCGTAACAACTGTTTACCGGGTAAATTCAAACAGAGGTCGCCGGAACTTTATTACGTAAATGTGTTTGCAGTTGTGCATGTTTTTGTGTTTACAGACAGGGTGCAAACAACGTATGTGTGGCGGGTTACGACGGACACAAAAGATAATAAAACGGACAAAAGCTCCAGACTGAAAATTAGCTTGTCACACCAAAACAATTTTTTATGTTGCAGTTTAATATCGTGTTTTTGCGGACCAATAATAAAGTTCATAATGTGTTTTGGATTTTAGTTAAAAAAATGAGAATCTCCACACTTGCGTTCTCCTAATTGAACTTTTTTGATTCTCAAAGCTTTTTGATTCATAATTTCCACCTATAACTTTCTGTACATTTATACCTCATATTAGTACCTTCTCAGGCACATTTCTTCCATTCTAATAAATAAGTTATTTAAAAATGTTCAGTTCATGAATAAAAGTTTGAATAAAACTTGAATGGACCTGAAAATGGTTTTACATTACTATTTTAGAACCGTTTTACTAAAATTGAAAATGTCAAATTTTGGTCTCGGACATAACTTTTGAGGGGCACAAATGAAAAAACTGCAATAACTTTTTTGTGGATTGACTTTTAGACCTTTTTCTTGTAAATTCGGAAAAGTTGTGTTCTGTTACTAAAAAAAGGTACACTTGAGTGATATCGCTAGGATAGACCATTTTCGAAGGAAATGAATTTCGAAAATTGAAATGTAAACTTTGGCACAGGATTGTTAATTTAATGTCAGTTGCAATTTTTTGTTCACATTCTTTTTTTTTTTGGGCATGTGGTTCAGTTAGGGGACGTTTCTCGACATATGGTTTATTTAGCTTATTTCGGACGTAGGATAGGCTTTCTGTTAATTCTAGTCTTTCTGTTGTGAAATTGCGATCAACGTTGTAATATTTCATTATATTTATAGTATCACCAAGATAGTAATAATAATAGTATTTGTTGACAAAATATAACATAATCATACAGAGTTGAAATATAAAGCAACGAAAATGTATTGTCATCTTTTTTGCAAAATAAGCAAACAGAGAAAAATGACAAGAAACATTTGGGCAATAAATACTTTAGAGGTACTGAGTTGGACAGGAGAAAAAATCATTTCTATAAAATGTGAAGTAAAGTAATTAAATAAATAAATTGGGTAAAACCCCTTGCTCGTAGTTGAATTTCTTAGGGATTAGGAAAATCAACGATAGATTAATAAAATGGAGGAAAATTGGGGTAACGAATATCACTTCTATATTTTTTGGATGTAGCGTTTGAAGGAAAATACAGTGAGTAAATAAGAATTAAAAAGTAACACTTAGAATGCCTCAATTTCCCATACTTGTCACTTATTGAGTTTGTGGGAAATGGCTTCCAATTATTTTGAATATCAGCCTCAAGCGCTCAGTTTATTCCATTACCTTTCAAAAAGCGTTTTATATGGTTATACGGCCACAGTATTTTAGCAGCAGAATGGAGTTTCGGGAAGCATTTTCTTAATGTCTGAATATATCAATATCAATTTCGTGCAGATGACCCTTAAAAATGCATTTTATAATCCAAACTAAGCCCTACGTTATATGGGAGTTTGTGTAATCGATATCGTCATTATTTAAGTCGGTTGCTGACTGGAACTGCGAAACAACTATTATATTAATTGGGATTTATAATATAATAATAATAAACTAATTATTTGCGTTGCAAATAGGAGTCAAACAATTGGAAACTTGCTGAACTATCAAGTTGGCAATGCGGAGAAAATTCAAATTTGACCTCTTGCTAAATCAATTTTAATGATCAATTACAGTAATAGTTGCTTAGCAAGCAGTGCAAATGCTTGCAGGTGACTAGAATATACGATTTTGTTATCCATTATTTAATTTTCTGAAGATGAAATCTTATTGTTAGAATATTACTACATTTGTCCAAACAAGCTATGACTCCGTATTATTTATAATCATATTTAACGAATTGGAGGCCGGGGACTTAAGCACTATACAACTGTTTAAAAGTTTTGCTTAGATTTAATCGAATGATACAAAACATCAAGATATTTTCTACGGAAATTTCATAGTTCCACGTTGAAGCGTTTTCTTCTTTGTTACAGACACCAAATAATCCTCACAGCCGACGAAGGCAAATAGTTAACACCTCTACAGGGGCCTGCTTGATAATTATGAAACAATTTACCTCATCGCCTGCAAACCACCCCCACCTTTAACTAAGTACAACTGCATACAAGAGAAACTATGGAGCTTGCAGTAGCTTCCAATCGACGACTATGGATCGAAAGGTGCGAAAATGGAAATTAGAAACACTCTGGAGGTTCAATTTGTTGAAGGATTCAGGTGGCGGCAGTTTGTATCGACGTAGGTTAGTACCAACTATTTTCAGTGATAATAAACACTAATATAACTAGTAACTTACTAATGCACTGCAAGTTTTTAGAATTAAGACTTCAATATTCTTTGAAAGATACCTTCCAAAACAAACCAGAGGTAATCAAAGTATCACACAAGATTTACATTCAATATTTTTGTTGGTTTGATTTGCCTGGCCTTATTTGTAGTGTCAATTTATTGATTACCAATCAAAATATTATTTATTATTATTACTATATTTTTAGATTAGAATTAATATTAATATTATTATTATTATAATTATTAATACATATTTTATTATTTTATATATAATACAATAACTTATTATGAAAGCTGGCAACCGTATTGAAATAAATAATTTTGGAGACCCAAAACATCTTGGAGAGAAAAATGTAGTAAATACTAAATAACACCAACGCCTGCTTCGTGTTTTGAACGGCAGATTCAGAAAATTGAAATATTAAAATGATCTCTGAACTATTTTCTTGCATTTTATTGATGATTTATTTGATTGGTTTCTTTAGAATAAAATTAGACTTTCCGGAACTTTTATAATGTAAGTATGTAAAATTTTAGCACCCACCACACAAACAATCTGAAATTAAGAAACATTTTGGTTAGTAATTTTCATAGCAAAAAATTTACCATGTACTTTTCGTCTCTAATTTATACTTGTCAGTTGTCACTCCATGCAGATATTAGAAAAATAATCGGTAAACAGCTTGCCAATCCAGCCCAGGACTCCCCGCATATTTTGCTGTTTTAACAGTTATGGTCACAGGTTAGGCAGTCATTTTGGAAATATAATAATAAAATTTTGTTATTTATCTTTATTACTTTTTTTACAATACTTTGAAGCACACAAAATTATCTCCGGTAGCTGAAATTAATCATGCAATGCAATCAACATAATCGCAATTTTACAAGTTAGGAGAATTTAAAAAAAAGACTATATAAAAGGTGCTTTGTGTTTCGTCAGATGAAAACAGAATTGGTCTTCATGGCAATCTTGATAATTGGATATGAATTGCAAAATAGGTCAATACTTAACAAAATTAGTTAGTCTCCTATAATCAACTCCCCTAACGTAGGGAGTAATAAATCATCTGACCGCCCATTCCCTTGGTTTTCTTTAGTGGATATGCACCCCGTTTACACTAGGCAACAACCCCAACCGTCCTTAATTTTATTTATATTCGAAATTTTTTAGCCATCTGGTGATTATTGGATCTGGAAATATTTGTGTGGTGTAAATCGTACTGTCTATCTTGCTTCTGTTTCTTCGGACCGAATTACTGATCAAACTCAATTTTGTATTGTCAAAAAAAGTAATAAAGATAAATAACAATTGGTTTCGATTTTAAATATCTATTTTATTTTAGTGCAAAGTTTTTTTTTAATCTTTAAGGTTAGCACGAAGATATTAAAATGCGGTTTTCACTGGGTTGTGAAGCCCTTATTTTGAAATTATATTATAAAATGGCATTCCAATGAAGTCGCTCATAGCACAATTGAGAGTTCCGGAAAAGCTCTTTTTAATGATTCCAAGTTTATTAAAATGCATTAAGCGTTCAGGGACAGAGCAAAGAATTGAAGGCAAAAAAAATGAATTTCTCTCAACTTTGAAATAGTACTCAATCTAACTAGTTTTAATGTTAGAAAATTTTGGGACCTGACATAATAAAAATGAGGAAACGGTAGCAATTCAAAAATGTGTTCTGAAGCTAACGTTCACCTAAACTTTAATTTTTAAACAAAAAATTAGTGAATAAAATGAAATATATGAATTAAATAATAAATTAAGTAGACACTTAGATAGATACCAAAATGTAATGGCAGCTACTCAGGTAATTTTTGTGCACTTCGAAGTAATACGAAAAAAGTAGTTTTTTAGTAGTATTTTATTTTCGTTTTAAATATCATTAGACATCCTGAATAATAAATTAGCGATTTATTTAGTAAATCATCCCTTAAAGTCGAAATGCTGGACCAAATTCGATTTTCAAAATTTTAGGTTTTTTTATTCATATTTTATCTTAGGATAAATACCTTGAGATGCGGTTTTCAGTGAATGGTTGAACGCTTATGTAACTATATGTTGTCGTAAAATAAGATATATATTTGCATTTATTGTCCCAAAAAATTCAATTATGTCATGGACATGGATATCAAAACATAGTGGCAGCTACTGGGGTTATTTTTGTGCGCCTCGAAGCAATACAAAAAAGTAGTTGTTTAGATGTATCATTTGACATCCTGAATAACAAATTAGCAATTTATTTGAAAAATCAAGCCGCAAATTGAAAATACTTGACCAAATTCAATTTTCAAAATTTTAGGTTCTTTTATTCATATTTTATCTTAGAATAAAGACCTTGAAATGCGGTTTTCACTGAGTCGTTTTACGCTTATGTATGTGTTGTCGTAAAATAAGATATATATTTGCCTTTATTTTTCAAAAAAAATCAATTGTCATAGACATGGATACCACAGTATAGTGGCAGCTACTGGGGTTATTTTTCTGCGCTTCGAAGTAATACAAAAAAGTAGTTTTTTAGTAGTATTTTATTTAGTAAATCCACCCGTAGAGTCGAAATGCTTGAACAAATTCAATTTTCAAAATTTTTGGTTCTTTTATTAATATTTTATGTTAGAATGAGATACGATTTTCACTGGATGGTTGAACCCTTATCTTGCTATGTGTTGTCGCAAAATAAGACATACATTTGCCTTTTTTTCCTAAAAAAAATCAATTATGTCATGGACATGGATCCCAAAATATAGTGGCAGCTACTGTGGTTATTTTTGGGCACTTCGAAGTAATACAAAAAAGTAGCTTTTTAGTATTCAAAATTTTAGGTTCTTTTATTCATATTTTATGTCAGTTTAAAGACCTTGAGATGCGGTTTCCACTGGGTCGTTGGACCCTCATGTATGTATTGTCGTAAAATAAGATATATATCTGCCTTTATTTTCCTAAAAAAAAGTCAATTATGTCAGAACACGCCACCCGGTTGCAAGGTGTAATGGGAAAGTGAGCATATTTCTCGACTTTTACGCAAACTCTGTTTTATTCCTAGCAGTTTTTATAACAAGGATAAACTTTCGGCTTGGATTCATGGCGAATTCCTCCACGATTTTAGTATTCACGACAACTCTATCGCAGCCTCCAGCGTACGTAGCAGGGTTAAAGTTTAGCGAGCCGGGAAGAACTTTCGGGGTTCGGACCAAACTTTTTGACTGCTAAAACGGTGGATACCTCAGCGTGTAGATTTTTTTACTTCAGACTTGTGGAAATATTTACTGAAACTTAATTAATTTTCGTATTAAAATTATTCTCGCTGCGAAGTCGGAAACAGTTAGATAAACCGGTCTTTTTTTTTTGTTTAAATGACAAAAGGCGAGAGTCCTTAAATAGGTAAAGAATTTTTTTAATCGAATTTCAACGAGGCAGTTGTGCGACGTACTCGAGAAGGCCGGAATCAAGAACGACAAAAACCGGTAAAAATCAACTAACGAAATAGTATCCTTTTTCCCGCGGGAGCTCCATTAAGTTGGTAATAAAATACGTTTCTTAACAGCGGGAACGTTTCCCTGCAACCGGAGAACGCGGCAAAAGAAAAATCCAAGAAAAATTACATTTATTTTTGCTTTTGTTGGCGCACATCAGTTTAAACTGTCACCCAAGAGTATTTTTACAGATCCAATTTCGTTCTTTCTAGTTTTAATCAGTGCCTAGGCCAGATGCCGTCGGCCCCCAGGCGCGATGAAGCGACCGGTGTTAATTTTAAATCCTGTTTGTTGGTTTTTGGATTACTTTTGACTACCGTCGTTGTCAGTACCATCTATAAGAAGAATTAAAATACTCTGGTTATCGGTAACCAAAGTATCTTGTTGGTTAGTTATTGGTTGGACTAACCGAAACTAACCAAAACTAACCAATATAGGTTGGTTGCACACTTTTCACAGTGTGTTTCAGATTAGTCCCATCCGTACAAGCTTCGTGAGACCGTACTGTACATCCTCGTTGACATTATATCCAGCTCTCTCGAGATCCACTTGACGAATTTGATTCTAGACAAACAAGACAATAATATTGTTCATCTGATGATGAATCAGATGGTGCAATGGCCTTCTTTCTCTTCCCTTTATCTCTATCTTTCTATATTCTTTTTTCCATTGGATGCTTCAAATACTTTTTTTCTTCGTTTGTGATTTTTTCAACCGTTTTTCTCGTTCTTCGTATTCTTGTCTTACTGCTTCCTTTTCAGAAGTATCTGTTTTTCTATCTCTTGTTCCTAATTTCCTAATAGGAATTTTTGAGAAGGGCCGTAATGCTTCAGGCGAGAATAAAGATTGTCTACTTGTGAACGGAATTGCTTCTAATTCCATACAAAAAGCAGTAGCACGAAAAGAGACGCTTGCTTCCAGATTTGCTGTCATAACTTGTAAGTCTTGATTGATTTCTGTAGGCGGGATTCTTGCTGCTTGCATCGCAACGTTTTGGGAAGACACTGGCGATTGAGTTTTAGCAATTGCTCTATTTTCAGGTTCAGATGGACGCACTGGCAACTTCTTCTGTAGCACTTGGGTCTAGCCTGTCTGTCACGAACCATGGTGCGAAATCAATTCCTTGGAATAATTCGAAACCCAGCCTGTATGTCATAAATAGTAATCGTTTTGCCTGGATAACAGATAAACCGAACTATCCAGTGGCTATAATTTGTGCGAACAGTGGGGTGGAAATGAAAGTAAACCTAATCCGTTCTCTTTGCAAAAGTCCAAAGAATGAATATATATATGAGACGAATGATTGTCTAATACAAGTAAGACCTTATGTGACTAAGAAGCATTCCTGTGTTTTTTGAAATATTTGAGAAACACAATAAACTGCTCATCTTGCATACACCCAGATGGATTACCTGTACCAATTGAACCTACTGCTCCATCTCTGATAAAATGCTCATGGTATCTAATCCGAGGAATTACAAATATCGATTTAGTTGCGTTGCCCAAAGCATTGGCTGCAAATGCTAGTTTGACTAAAGGGCCTCGCTCAGCAGTGCGCCCAACTGTCTTGAGCCACTGCTTGCTACAACTCTGTGTGGCTTCTGCACTGTAGTAACTCCAGTTTCGTCAACATAATAAATATTCTGAGGTTCGAAGTGATCCCTGTCCATAACCAGTCGCTCTAGATCGACTTGTAGCTTGTGCAGCACGCACTGATAGTTCTATGTTTCTTATGTTTCTTTTCATAAATGAAAGGAACCATTCCTCTCCAGCCACTTCATTTTCAGTCCATGTGGGCGAAATCTTCAAATTATATTTGATGGTAAGTTCGTATGCAAATTTTCTAACTTCTTTTATCGAGAGACCAAAATATATGTCAGCACAACGAATAAGGTATTTAGACAATTCACGCTCTTGATCTTTTTGAAAACTCTATTGTGGGCTACGCACCCCATGCTAACCTCAGGGTCTTCCTCGTTCACCCACTTTACCCACCCTCTGATTCTAGAAAAAAGCGATTACAAACACGTGGAATAATAATTGTCAAAACACAATAAACCCTTCTGTAAGCGTGTCCCCCTGCACCCCTTCCCGCCCTGCATTTAGTTTTCTCAATATTTAAGATGTTTCGACCGTACCCTATTCCAACCGTACCCAGTTTACCCTAATATGTAAAGTGTTCTATGAGAGAAGCTCTACAATATTGGACGTTTATTGCAGCCGTGCAGCATTGGAGCTACCCCCCAAGTGGAGCGGATGCGGCTGAAGTAATGCTGGGCCAACCCGTCCGCGCAGACCATGCTTTCTAGATGCGCGGCACTATGCAGCCATCGTCGCAGTGAGTTTAATGCGCGTTGCCACATCGTCTACGGTCGAACTGGGGTGTGGCTGTTCGTGGCCGTATTGTGTTCGGTAATCGGGCGGCATCACGTGACGCGAGCTGGTCCTCCGCGATATAGTTCGCGTATCGTCGAGATTGAAACGGGCGCCATTCGCGGCATAATCCTGGAATTGAATTCAAGACATTTAGAGCCGGTCGAGGTGAATAAAATAAAAAGCTATAAACATTTTATCATCCATTTATATAAACATTATGTTTAATATTCAATAATAATATAAAACCTAAATCATTCACTTGTATAAAAAGAACTTCCATCCCGCACAAAAATAAGTTTTAGAACCATTTAAAATAGTGAAAATATATATTTTTCAAATTTTTGAAGATATTAGATAAACAACGATGTAAAAAAATTGTGTATCTATTAATAGCAATTTATTAACAACAATTTTCAAAATCTACTTTCTATGTGCCTACCAAGTTCGGCTGAGCCTCCTACAAACACCCTATATACCTTTACAAACTATGAGGCTAGATAACAAAAGTATCATCGACGTAGCGTTTCCATAAGGAGGAATCCAGAAGTTTTGTAAAATATACAGTAGCCTGTGAAAGTTTCTTTGAAAAATTTGTATAAATGTTTTTAATTCTTCTAAGCTACGTTTTTATGGTAATTTTTTTATCGTATATGGGGCAGATATTTTGCTTATAAATATAATTCCGGCCCCTTGGATATCTATCTGTTTTCCCCAGGATAATATTTCGTCTTCAAATACTCATTGACTTGAAAACCCATTCTTGACTGCTCCAAAACTTTTTGTCAATTATCTACAGAAGGGGTGTTTAGAAAAGTCGCTACCAAAAATGTGTGATGGAAAGTACAGCCCGAAAATAGCTTACCAATACCAAAGAAAAAAAGATAATGAATTTTTTTACCCTTGAAAACTTGCTAAGGGGGGTTTTTCATTTAAACCTACAAGTTTTGAATAAGTGCTTTCCTATTTATATGAAAAGACAGAGAGAGGCCACCATTCAGCTAATATTAATAACATTTTAGGTGCCTTTGTTATATAATAATAAATAAACGAAGAGCAAATATAACTTTGCGAAAACGCTTTGCAGGTTTTTAGGGGTGTCCCTTACGCGGCGCCGCCCGTTGGTCCCCTACGTTTTGAACCACCCCGTCCCCCAATTCCCTGGCCCGGTACTAGATTGGCCGACACTTTTGGTGCCGTCTGTCCACAAAAATATCCAGACGTAAGCAATAAGACGGCCGCGTTGCAGACGATGCCCAGAGGGAGGTACCAATATCTGAAAAAGTTGGTACCATTGCTGGTCAATCAGTCCGAGGATTGTTTGTTTTTGAACGTTTATGTTCCTGGAAGTGGTAAGTAATGAATACTTTTAATTTATTTATACCGTTACTGTTCAATAGAACAATGAACTAATTACAGTTTAAAAATCTTTAAAATATTACCCAAATATTGTAAAACCACCGTGCCTGCGTTGATCGTATATAATGCAACCAAAAATATAGCGCATTTATTGCTTTGACGTTTTAATTATTTTAAGGTACCGCAGGACCGTGGTGAAACATATGTTTATTCGGCATTAAGTAGGTCTTACCTAAGATGAACCGTAACGAATATTTATAGAAACTTGAAATTTTTATTTGAAACGTAAATGGACCGTTTTAAATTTGATTAAGCATTGATGCTGCGGGGTATTTTCGAATAAGTGGAAGCGTTTATTTTAATATCAAGTGAGATGTATCTTTCTTAATTGCAATATGTTCGTATATATTAGGGAGGTATTTGACTGTGATCCTTCCAGTAAGTACGTATTTATGTAGCTGAACCTCGATTTTTAACCCTGCGAGGCTGTTTTCACTTGATTGTTCAAAGGCTAAGAGTAAGTACCTGTAATATATTTATCTTACAGGTAAGTTTGAAAATAATCATTTTTGTCTTGTGTGCCTGTCGATTAGCAACATCATTCAGATACGTCATAAGAATAGAGATAAATATTTATTAGAATGTTGCAATTAAACATTTTTTAACACTTTAAAATGTGGAAAAAAAGAAGAAATGGAAAACAGGGCAGAATTTAAAGGCGAAGTGGAGCTTGTAGTGCAACCTAATGATAATTTAGAAGACGAACTACCTTAGCAAATTAAAAAACGGATCTATTTGTCTTGGGATGCATTACAATTTTATAAGAAATTCAGGAGAGTAATAGGAGCAGCAATAAAAACAAATGAAATGACCAAAGTTCCGAAGTCAACTGTAAGAAAAATTGTTATAAATGGGCTAGTCAAGAGGAAAGTGGGAGAAGACGCTGGTACTTCCCGAATTTTTAAAGAGCACCACGCAGATATAATCTAAAAATGTTAATTATTACAATTAGAAAACGTCAAGTGCTAATGGAATCTCATAGAATTTCGCATGGAGAGAATTGAAAAATTTCGAAAAAAAAACATGGTTCTATACTGAAGACAGTATGATGATGTGATGACAGTAACACGTGTGTACTAGACGTGCCGCCTTCACATGGAAAATGCATAATAATTCTTCATGCTGGGTCCAACAATGGTTGGGTGGAAGATTCATTCTTTTTGTCTGGCAAAAACTTCAAAGACTCGAGTGTGGATTATCATGAAAACATTTGAGGACTGGTTTGAAAATCAACTGTTGCGAAAACTATGGAAAAATTGTGTTATTGTATTGGACAATGCCTCGCATCATTCAGCCCAAATTAGAAAAATTCCAAATATTTCTTCAAATAACGAAGAGTTTGAAGAATATTTTGAAGAGTCAATGAAAAAGCAACATTTTAATAAAGACTACAAAATCGATTCTATAGCACAAAAAACGGACATGAAATATTGAGATTACCCTCGTATATTTTACCCGATTGAGATGATTTGGTGATGATTTAGTGGCGGAGTTGATCTACTAGGTGACAACAGTAGCGATGGTGACGATTTTTTAAATGACTTATTCTTTATTGTTATTACATTTAATAATTTGTATATTAATAATGATACTATGTAGAAATGTAATGAAATAGAACAGAACAAATTGTTACGTTCCGGTCCAAATATACCAAGCTATACCAAATTACAAATAAAAAAATATGTAGACCGTTTTCACTACAGCACATTAAGAATATTCACCCAGATAAAAAGAGAAGTCGAAGCAATCAAGGAAAAAGGCGACTTTCCAATATTCTTTATAACAGTGGTCGCCAACCTCTTCAATATGTTGAGCGACTTTGTTAATTTTGAAGTTTCTCTGATTTTGGCAGTTTGTGTTTTTAATTAAAATCGTTGTGAAGGCTACCAGAGTTGCCTCCGCGACCTACCGGTATATGACGAAAAAGTTGACCATGTTCCACTGATTTTGAAATGAACATATCGATAAAGTTGACTTTAAATTTTTTCAATTTCGTCATTACCATTTTTATAAACCTTGAACCATATTAAGTTGCAGTATTCCAACTCTGGTCTCACATGGGAATAATATAAAATTGTTATTACGATGGGAATTCTACGCTCTTTGCAATTTCAATAAATCCAGAATTTTAAAGGCTTTGCTTGTAGTTTATTCCAAGTGGTCTGAAAATATAAATCTCGAATCGGAACGCAACCCTAACTAACCAAAACTAACTAACTAATTCCTATCTATAATATGAAATAATTTTGTCTTCAGCAGAAACTGAATTAATAAACGCTAACTGAGGAAGACGAGACTTTTTAATTTCAGCACTCCAATTTTTGGCAAAACATATTTTTTTCCAAAATAAAATTATGGGTGTGTCATCTGATTCAATTATTTATTGATTTTTGCATACTTGTCAAAAAGTTTGCGAGTTCCGAATATTTTTATTTCTCATCAACTTCGACCACTTTTCAAACTTTTGTGGGAAAATTTAAATAAGTCGCCATGGGAAAATGAACGAAATCCTGGAAAACCTTCAGTTAAGAACTTCACTTCAACTACAGCAAATTGGATTGATGCCATCAGCTGTGAGCCAACTTTTTATAAATATTATTTTGTCTACAATTTAGCTTGCTTACTGTACAATATCTACAGTTTCATGTCTCAAAGGAAAGTTGCATAAACTTTAGAGTCATGGGAAATTTACCACTTTTCAGTCGAAAGGCATTAGAAACTACCAAGTTAAAATCAAAAGTTTTGAAATTAAATCACGGACATGCTCAAATACGGTATAAAAGCATTTAAGCCAATTAAGTCGAGCAATTTCCTTTAAGCAAGAGATGATAAATAACACAGGCCAACAGACATTTTCATGAAAGCGATTTATCTACTGTTCCTGGGTAACTTGTGGGCTCAGAACTGTTATACTGAGATTTAAAATCATTACTTAAAGTACTGATTTTTTTGCGGGTTCATTGAAAGCTACGCTGAAATTATAGAAGTCACTCCGCAGAAAATTGAAACATTTATTTCATCTAAAATAACAAAATCACTAACTACTAAAAATTTATACATATAACGTCCCTATTTATAGTGAATAAATAATATTCACTATAAATCTGACTACTAATTTTTATTGATGACCGTGAATTACTTATATATGCGCGTTCCGGCGTCTCTTTGCGACTGACTCCAAGTGAGCGCAGCACACCGCTTTTAAAAGGCTCACCACCTGCTGGCGGTAACAGTGGAATATTCTAGTCGTCTTCTCCAAAAGTTGCGTCCTTGATATGTCTCTGTCGGTCATGCCAGGGAGGGCAGGACGCTAGATAAAGGTTTTTTAATGTAGATTTTCATAAAATCCAATCTTAAACATGGAAATGATATAAAACCCAGTAAAATGGAATAAACTAGCTTTAAGACTCTTTTTGAACCGATTTTTGGGTGTTAGTGTCCATCTCTCTTTGATTTTAATTCATAACTAATAAATAAAATTCGTTTTTTCGAAAATTCTGCCACGATGCGTTTTTGTAAAAATGTGAAGCTATGTGTCCGTACGACGAACGTTCTTTATGCAGTCTTCGAAAGGTATTGAAAGGCAAAGCCACTCTGTCCGTGTCTCAGATTGTTTCTATGTATGTTGTTAACCTATATTGCTAGCAATTATGTTAGCAATATCGATGCAAATTTATGCGGTCCTTACAACAACGCTATTTAGTGTCGACTGGATGCTAATAATACACCCCTACGGTAATATAATGAAAATAACCGCGTCAACGTAGAACCACAATATATTAACCGATATAAAAGCTTTTACGTGTCATTAAATTATCATTAAATCAATTTCGGCATACTATATTCATTTCGGAGTGAAATTATTGCGCGTTTTGATTTTGCGAACTTTTCCTCTTAGCCACTTGGAACGACCGCCTGATCAGTAAAGTGGAAGTCAACAGAAATTTACACATTGCGAAATTATTTTCGTGTTTCTGAAATAGCAAGCAGGGGGCATAATTACCAACTTTTTTATATTCATATTTCACCCAAAATTTCCTTTTACTAGCAATAGTTAGAGTGAGTATTGCTTAAAAGCTGAGACAAATTGAAATACGCCTGAAACGAAAGTGATGAATGAGGGTTCTAACATTTTCAGAAATAAGACGGCATTGATATTTTCGCAGCGATGGTAATGATACTCCATGCATGCCTCTCTATATCAGCTACTAACCTGCACTTTGCGCCATTTTCTTTCTACATAGCGATTTTCACACACTTGACTTCTGTTCCGAGAATATTTAACGATACCACCGATAGCATATTTTGAGAAAATACTGCTATAAAAATGCCGCATCCAAACTATCTGTCTGTTGCTTGTTGAATGCCGATAGGTCATGCGCCTGCGCATTATGAATGAATCTTCTCAAAAACAATTTCATATTTGCTGTATTATCGGCATTAGACAGGGCTTCTATATCTCTAGAAGATACATAGAACAAACCATTGAAATCCCCATATCAATATGTTTATACCAACCGAAATTTTGAATAAAAAACTTAAAGATTAAAAAGTTAAAAATTTTTGTTCGTAATTGCTACGGTTTGAACATTTTGAAATATTCACTATTATCAATGTCAATAGAAAAAACCTAACTTAACCATCTCAATGATCTACGAATAATTATTTTAAAAACAATAATATAATTCCGACTGTGCAGTGCGCCATCAGGAAACAATTTGGTACTTTGGTAGCATTAACTAATGTTATTGACGATATAATCAGAACATGGACAAAAATATGGTCAGCATATTGGTACTTTTACATTTTTCAAAAGCATGTGACACCATTAATCACAGTTTGCTGTTAAGTAACTTAAAGTTTATCATCAGCATCGTGTACTTTAATTAGATCATGTCTATCAAACAGGTTTCAAAGAATATTCTTTAATAAT